TTTTTTTTTAAAAAAAAAAAAAAAAAAAAATGATCATTACTAAATTTGAACCCATCACTAGTAAATTCATGATTGGCCGTCAGATTTTTTTTTTATTGATCTTAGCTTTTGACATATAAAAATTTTTTACTACCTCAATTATTAATAAGTTGATTTTTTTAATAATAAAATTATATTTTTAAAAATTGCAGGCAAATTTAGGCGCAAAACATTCTAAGGGATAATATGAAATGATGGATGTATAAGTTAACCTAGTACACATTTCTTGGCCGACCAATAAAAAATGATAAAAATAAAAAAAAACTCAAAAAAAGTTTTTGTTTCAATCACTTAAATCAAATGCTATCACAATACACTAATTTTTATTGGAAACATTGCAATTTAAAGAATTTTTATTAAACATATTGAAATAAATTATATTATTATTAATAAATAAAAATTATAATTTTACGCATCTAGCTCGCAAGTGTAACATTTTTTAAAATAACTGTTTATTTATTTATAAAATATTATAAATAAAACTACTATATAAAAAGAATCCACCGCATCTTGTACCTAATAAGAACAAATTTTAAATTAAATATACCGTAATTTCGGATATAATTTAAGTTGTTTACTATAAAAGATAATTTCGGATTTCGGATTTCAGCGAGACTCGGCTTTACTGCTATCTATAATCATAATCATAATGAAAGATGCGATTTAAATATGAAAGTAATATAATTAATGCATAATAGCTACACTAAAAATAATAATAATAAAAAAGATATGTTACTAAATGACATCCAATAAATATATCAAAATTAGGCACCATATTTATGAAACACGGAGAACTGAACTAAGAGAACTATAAAAATTACAAATATATGATCCCTATTCTAAAAATTGTAAGAAATAATAATTCGTCCAAGTGTATTGTTGTGTTAATATTTCTAAAAAAAGAGGCCAGCTGCTAATTCTAGAACGCCAACATGCATTGGAATTTCCAATCCAAATATAATACTATATATATATATATATTTTAATAGCATAATTATCCATTTAGGTAAAATATTGAAAGTTCTCATGACACCTTTGTATATAGAAACTCATTGTGAGATCATACGACAGGTCTCTTTTGTATGTTTCACATGTTTATTCAAAGAAGTTTTGTAATATACTTTTAATAAAAAATTTTTAATTGGTTTCATTATTCCCATTCCATTTACAGGTTCATTATCCATAAGAAATGCATATAATATTACTTTATAATATTATTTTATAAATCAGATTGTTCTGTTTACATTCTTTTTGAAAATTCTTTATTAGCTTTTTACTACGCCCTGTATATCTAAGATCTGCAAACTTTAAAATTGCTATTATGTTCTACTTTTGGTCAATCATTTCATTTTTTTTTTATTAGATTTTATTTTAAAATTATTCGATTTATTTGTGAAAAATTATATATTATTTTGTTCTAAAAAAGAATTCTGATTCGAGAATTTAAAATACTGTCGGTATACAGTATATAGTGTATCACAAAAACATTCAAAACAATGAAATCACCAAAGGATTCCATGACGCAGTTACCCTACTTTTTATTAATTAAATGATTTTACATCATAATGCTATACATAAAAAAGTACAATTTATTAATAATTTTAAAATGTGTTGCATTTTCGGAAATGCCGACGCATATTGACGTATCGGAATTGATCATATTGATGCCGTCTTTTATTCATATGAATTTAAAAAAAAAAATAAAAAGTTAAACCAAATTAAGCATAATATTTAAAAAAGGGGGGTTAAAAATTTTTTTTAAAAAGAAATTTTGGAGACAAATTATTCATGATCCAAAAACCTTCGAATATTTTATTATAAAAAGTTCTTTGTAAATACGGAATATTAATATATATTATATTTAATGTCAATTTGCTATAATTGGCATTCTTTTATCTAAAACATGTTACACACAATTAATTGGTATGAATCGACATATCCGGAATAGTTCACTTCGAAAATAGATATATATTTACCTGATTTCAGCATGATGATAAAAAAAATTTCAATACTTCCCCTTCTCACTCCCTTCTCACTCCCTTCTCATTCTCATTTTTAAAAATTAAAAATATGTCATGTTCAAAAATACTTTCAGGAGATTTACCTGAATTAACCTATGAAATTATAAAATATTTTCGAAATGATTACTCAACTTTATATTCATGTATTTTAGTTAATAGATCATGGTGTCGTTTAGCGATTCCATTATTATGGGAAAACCCATTTTCAATTCATATCAAAAATTATAATTTTATTAAAATTTACATTCATAATTTAAATGATGATTTTAAGATAAAATTAAATGAATGTAAAATTATTAATAATAATTCATTACATTCGAATACACTGTTCAATTATCCTAGTTTTTTAAAATATTTGAATATAAACAATTTTGTTCACTCTGTTGACAAATGTTATGGAAATCAATTATATTCAGAATCTATAAAATTTAAAAAATTGATTTGTATGTCACTGTTCGGGAAATTTATTGAAAATGAAGTAAATTTACATACTCTTGAAATTGATTATTACACAACAGCTATTGTTAATGATATTATTAATGATATTGTTAATGATATTGTTGAATTTATTTTAAAAAATCCAAACTTCATTCTCAATATTAGAAATTTAAAACTTTATATTACCATTGATTACACGAAAAAATATTTTTCAATTATTGAAGATCGTGTATTACAAATAGTTAATTTGCATCAAAATCTTAAAAAAATTTTAGTATATAATAATTCATCTTTATTACAATCATTATTATATTATAATTGTTCAAATACCTTAAATACAATTATATTCTCTGAAATCGATTTTAATTTTTTAAACTATGACATATTTGAACAATTAAATGTTTTAGAATCTATTCATATCATTTATTGTTTTTTGAATAATAATTTTTTTTATCAAATTATTAATTTATCTAAACAATTTAAATTAAAATCTTTGTTTATGAAAGAGATACCACAAATTGATTCAATAGAATTATTATTACAAAGATCTGGTCATTATTTAAGAAATTTCGGGTATGAATTTGGATTTGGCTATGATAATATGTCATTAAGAGATCAATTATTTGAATTAATTACAAAATATTGTAAAAATATTAAATATCTTTATTTATGCCATGATGATGACGAGAATATTTATCCAGTAATCAATTTTATTGAAAATATGAAACATCTTGATTATCTTACTATCAAATTATTAAGTTTAGCTAGTTTAGCTATTCATTTTAATAGTGAATTTGATCATTTGAATGTTAAAATTTTATTACAAAATTTAGGACAATTTCTTCCCCCTAAATTAGAATATTTATGTTTAAATATTAGTCATGTTAAAGTAAATGATTTCGAAGTATTTCTAAAAAATTCTCAAGATACTTTTATTAATAAATTATTAATTCGCAATTATGACGGCCAAGATATCTTACCCTGTATAAAAGAATTTGTCATGAAAAAGAAAAGGGTTAAGTATCTATCTATTCAAGATTTTTTCTCGTTTGATGGGCATATTGAATACTTACAAGATAAAGTGAAGGAATTTAGGTCGTATAATATTAAAGTACAAAGTTACAATAGTTTAGTGATTGACATATATGATTATATGAGGGAAATTGATTAATTATTATTTAGTAACAAGTAAATAAGATACAAGTTACAAATAATGTGCAAAGAAAAATTCTGCTATCAAATATTGTCTTGCACAAAATATTTTTTTTAAATTAATAGATAGCAATTTATAGTATAGCGATGGTATTTGAAATATTCTATTATTATGTGTGATAAATTTTTGTTTATGTAATGATTTTATATAATAAACGTTGAGTAAAATAGAAAAAAATCATTTTAAAGACCATGAAAATTCAAGCTAATTGGTTTGTATTGCTTATGGTGTATATCTCTTCCTCAAATAATAAATTTTGTTGAAAACATTGTTTTAGAAAAATTGATATAATTAAAATCCAGAAATAATATGCGTAATAAACGTGATCGTGAATAAATTTGTGTCCCCAAAAAAAGGCAAATTGGTTAGAGATTTTGTTATTTACATCTTTTTTTTTTTATTATTATTAAAAAAATTTTCTCTCTTTTTCACAAATAAAAATGCAAAATTTTCAACCATAAAATTAATTTCTTATATTTATTATTTGTATTAAAAAACATGCATGAGTAATTGGAAAACTCAAATAACAAAATTGTTATTATTTTAAAGGAATATTTTATTCAAAGAAATATAGAATATATAGTATCCAGTTAACAATTCATTCGTAGCAGACATCGATCATTATCACACAATATAAATGCCGTTATTAAAAAATTCTACATAATAATATACGCTCAAATTTTACAAACAACTTACTAGTACTGTAGCAACTTTTTAAATTTTAATAAAAGCTGATATTAATTTCACGAAATTATTCACTAAATATGTTACTAATAAAAACCTGTATTATGAATTGGATCACTGTATTATTTTTACCACATATTATATATTTAATATAAAGAACATTTGTGCAAAGTTTTAAGTTTCGCCCATGCATATTTATCTTCGTCCATCAATTTTTGTCTGATGATTGAATGAATTATCACACACAAAGTTAGTATTAAATCACATAATTAAAATTATATGATAGTGTTTAGCTTGGATTTCCATTATATTTTTGCTACATATTATTTGTGGGAATTAAATGATCGGTAAATGATCGGCAAGGGGATCATAGTACACTTTAGAATTAATTGATTGATCTTTTCATCTCATTTATGCTAAGGTGGCTTTGTGATATGGCTTTGAAATACAGTAGATTTTACAAAAGATTGGTAGAACTAGATCAAAATTACAAAAATATATTAATATTTTATGAGGAAAATTCATTAAGATGAAGCCACCAGTCTAAGCCAGAAGGCTTTAATGATTCAAGTAATTGAACTTATTAAAAAAATACTATTATTATTTATGAATGAATTTATGTTTTAATATTATCAAATGTTTGGTTAATTATTATTATTTTAAAGAGAATAATTTTATTAATTTGACAGTAATAATCGGCGCTTAAGTGCTACTGCAGCAGTAAGCGCGTCTCCTAATCTGTGAGTTCCCAATCCGAAAGGACAAAAAAAAAATTATTTTTAAAAATAGAATGATAGATCGGCGCTCACCGTAGTACCGCAGTAATAGGAGCGCCATCTGATCCACGAGTTTCCGATCCTAAGGATGAAAAGAAAAAATTTTTTTTTTCAAAACATCATTAGTAATTAGTTATATTATCTTTTGTTTTATTTTTCAAGATACATTCGCTACTGTTGGACAACAACATTTTAGAATTGTTGCTAACATAGCATTCTCTATTTCGAAATAAATAAAAAAATTGAAAATTAGTACTTACCGTGGTACTACAACGGTAAGCACGTGAGTTCCCGATAAAAAAACCAGAAAAAAATTTTTTGAACGGAAAATCGGCACTCACCGTAGTATATACCACATTAGTAAGCGCGTGAGTTTCCGATCCTGAAGCAAATTAGCGTTTACATTTCACCAAAGTTTTTGTCGAATCTGATCCAAGGTTTCTTTAAAAAAAAAAAAATTTTTTTGTCATATTTCTGATCCCAAAAGATAAACATATCATATATAAAAAATAAAATCCAGTGCTTATCATAATATCATATCACCAAGAAAAATTAAATATAATTTCTTTTAACACCAAATCTGTCATGAATTAATAATATCCTAAAATTCCAGAAGGGGATGAGTGGCCGTGAGCGAAACGTTAGATAATGAGCTGGCTGGCTGGCAGAACGAACGTAACGTTAACGTTAACATTAATTTTATCAATTCAAAAATTTTGTTGATACAGAAATTTGGACAATTATTATGTAGTCATATTAGACCAGGCAATTTTTAAAATTATTATTATATTACTATTCATTTAATAAATATATCGTTCTAGTATATGATATTCCCAAATTTTTTTTTTTTTTGAATTTTAAGATTTTGAGAAATATGGATTATCATAATATACTGTACATAATATAGTAAAACCCTATATCCATTATTTCTGTAAAAATGAGCCTTTCCTGGAGCCATTCACGGAAAATGTAAATAAATTCTGTGATATAAGATTGTTAGCTCTGGAAATAGGCATCGGGGCTTTTTCGCCGAAATTTATTTTTCCGAACCCATTTCGCCGAAGCTACGGAACGTTTCGCCTAAGGGATATTTCGCCGAAATACCATTTCACAGAATTCCAATTTATCGAATGGACATTTCGCCGAAATACCATTTCACAGAATTCCAATTTATCGAATGGACATTTCGCCGAAAAATTATTTATTTCCATTTAGTTACTTTATTGTTTTTTATACTAAATACATAAAGAAATCTTTTCATTGCGCAATGAATATTTTATAAAAATGTTAATCGCTACCAAGATCGACTAGATCTATAATTTTCTGATAGCTTTATTCTTCTCATTGTCATTATTCCACTAACTGAATCATATGCCTTTGTATCTTCTAAAATAGTTTGAACTATTTTAATCAGTTTGAAACAACTCTTTCCTGCCAAAGCACATTATGATTGATTACATTGATAAATAATTTTGTGTGTATTCACTTATTTTTGTTCTTAAAAAGAATATATAATATAGCATTTAATATACGAAAAAATTTCGTTCTAAAATGGAAGTATTATCCTGATTATTACTATTTACTTTTCGATTGTAGGTTCAGAAATAATCTATATAAAAAGTCCATTAGCTATACATCTTGGAACAACTTGTCATGTCTTTATAACGTTTATTCATGATCACTTCTATCCGTAGTATTTACACAGAAAGTATTCCTTGTCACCTCTATTATGGAGCTCTACTCTATTATTAGCATGCTTAAATTCTGTTCAGTTAATTAAACTATAAAGTTGTGTAATTCTCTATTTCTATAGATTATTATATAACTAATAAAAAAAAATGTATTATATTATATACAGTTGGGTACCTAAAAATCATTGTTCCAGTTGATCTTTATAATTTCGTGTCCAAGTACGAATCGATATTTCAGTAATCCTAACTTCCGATTTATTTATATTTGTTTTTGTTTATGCCCACCTGTTCAATATCACTCCGAAAACCACAAGGGTATATGGAAATCGGATTTTACCATTAATCATTAGTCTCAGGTTATTGACGATATCTCGCTGGTGCACCATCAACTAATTAAAATAAAATTTGTGTAAAGTATCATATAAAAGTCTATTATTAGAGATTTTTTTGAAATGCCAGTTATGAATTAAATACTGGGTGTTTTAGATTAATTCATTAACTTGATATTAATTTATGTTAGATTAGGAATATGCGGGATTTTACTGACCGATATTTTTATTAGACATCCAATATTGAAATCAGTATTAGTGCATCAATTCCTATTGGTCACCGCAGTATTCCTAATGACCGAACTATAACTCAGTTATTGGATGGGGATATCGGTCTTCGACCGATATCTCTATTTCCCCATCCAATAACTATTTATTATAAATTACATATGGTTTCTCAGAAAGTAATTTATCCGCGCACACCTTAAAATAGAAGCCATTAAATTTCTGAAACTTAAAAATTCGATTTCATGCATTTATATTGTTAGTCTTTGTGCAATACTAAAAGATTAAAGAAATACACAAGAATAAAAAACAACATACATCTCACTTTTTTAAAAATACTAAAGAAAAAAATTTTTTTTTTTATTGAGAAATATCTAAAAAAAAAAAGCTGGAAAAGCTTGAATTATTTGTTTTTTTTTAAAGGGTGTTCTCGCAGAATTTGAAATGAAAACAATAAGAATCTATGGTTTTTTTTTTTAATTACTAACGCGTTTATTAATTATTAATTAGTAAAAACACCTAGAAGACATTTAAATTATTTTAAATTATCCTCTATAACTAATCGATCTATACTAATTTTAACTATAAACTAAATTCTAATTAAAAAGTTTAGCCTTTGTACCCATTTTTTTGTAATAGCTTTACCACTTTCTGTTACTTCCTGATCCAACGTTACTAAACTTATTCTTTTTTCTATCTTTTTTTCATTTTGTTTATTATTTACTGTTTTTTCCAATTTTTTCTTTTTCTTTTCTCCACCTTTATCGTCTATTCCTCTTTTCGTTTCTCCTTATCTCCTTTCTTCAATCCTTTAATCTTTTCTATTTCTGCTATTTCCTCACATCTTTAGATCCAAATTTGTTCTTTAATTTTCCCATAGCGGAAACTCCATAAACTCTCAATCAAACATTGGTAGTCTTTCTTCTTTGATATATCGTTATATTTATTATTATATACTCCCTCAACAATTCCCATACTCGATTACATCTCCCTAAAATCTCTGATGGCCCTTTCAAAATTTCCATAAATCTAATATTAATATCTTGAGTTCTTCTTTTTTCCCTCCTGATATTAATATATCTTCGTATTCTCGTAACGATTCATCGAATAAGAATCTATAGTTATGGACGTGTGAATTTAATAGAAATTAGTATAAGTTATAATGATCGGTAAAAAAATCTCTAACTTTTATATGACGGTTGAGTTGATGTACACCCGATATCTCGTGAATTGTAATATAAAAATACTTTCACCTAAAAATTTTAGTATATAAAATCAATCAAAATTATCATATTTTTATATTAAATGAAAAATTGTGAAACTTACCGGTTAACCAACAAAGTCATGATGATAGATCCTTGTCAATGTGATGATATGCTGCTTCCGCACCAGCTAATGATTCTTACATTTAATGTACGTATAGAAAATCTCCCTTTGACCATGTTTAAACATCAAGGACATTTGGTTCAGATCTTTCATTATCGACTCGATTAAACAATATCAACTCTTTGTTGATAAGTTATCGTGATCTTTCAAAATTATGATTCATGAGGTTCCAGATTCGTAATTTCTTCAATCTCCTCGATCAATCGCTTTGAGACATGTTAATCAATTCAAGTTTATAAAATTCGTCGAATTTTATGCAATGACAGAAAAAATAACCCAAGAAATCGATAATCGACCTTCTTTATATGACTTCCAACACAAGATGTCTTCTGTTGAAGTATATTTTTATATATTCATAACTAGGTATAAGTGCATTCAATAGTTTCCCGAAGACTAACAATGCCAAAGCTTTTGCATAATTACCTTCAAAGCGCAATATTAGACTTTTTATTTACCGCCGGCATTATTTACATTATCCAGTTTGGTATGACCTTACTTGTCTTAATTCCGTCAGTTTTCTCTAGTTCCTTGCTTTGTTGGTATTTGATATCATCCAATATTCTTTAACTACATTGCTTTAAGTGAATTAATTATATTTAGATCACATTCTGAAGGTGTTGATATTGTTGATATTAGATCAACTTTTAGAGAACCAAAGCTCGCGTATTCAATCAAACATTAAATATAAAGTTATTACACGAGGTTCTTAGAGACATCCCCTAGAGGTGCAGATGTTATTAACTAAGTTAATATGCTAAATCTTCCTGGAATTGGAACGAGGGCAATTGATTAACTACTTCATAAATAATTGATAATTGGCTCAAATATATCAGTGCATATTCTTTGAGAATTTCAATCTTTCCCGCTTCAGAAGACTTTGACATCTTTTACACATTCAGCCAAATCATATACATGTTTCTTAAAGAGTGCTATACAAATTCATTTGACATAATTTTTAAAATTCAGCTTGAAACTGATCATTGTATATTTCTCTACTGAATAAAGTGAGAGCTTGGAACGTTCTATTACTGTAATATTTTAATATTTGACGGTATTTGTTGCTGGCAACACCACCATTTTTACATTACTATTTACAATTATAACTAAATGATGTTAAACGATGGCCAAATTAAGTTCTGGTGCATATTCATTTCTTCTGTAAATTTCACCCATTGTCATTATTATATACAGATTTCACTTCAATTTCAACTTTTGTTGGTGTCCATAGAAGGATCAAAAATGTTGTCGCCAGCAGCATTACAAGATTTTGTCTAGTATTTTATATAATCCTAGAACATAAGTAAAATTAAGTTTCATATCTCAATGAAATACGTTCAATTTGCGTATTACTATTTGGTATATTTGGTTTTTTGTTGAATAAAAATTCCGTATGATGAAGAAATAGCTAAAGACATTATCATTAAAATTTTCGTTGTTAGAGGATGTTTCACTAAAGGTGACTTGAGTAAAGAGCTTTACTTGGGGAAGTCTTACTGGGGCTTCGCCACTTAAAGTTTTTTAACAGCCGGTTAGATTTCAGAGAATAATCAGATCCCGGCACGCGTTTCGGAAGTTTTAGCCGTTGGTTTACGCGTTTTTGTAGCCCTTAAAATATAATTTTTTTCATCTAAGGAAGAACGAGATTCTTACCAACACACTTTTTGTTGATCTAGTTTTTGTTCTTCGTATGAATCAGAATCTAATATCACTACGTTTGAGGCGTGGCGTCTTTAAGGATCGTTGGTTAGCTTGCTTACGCGTTTTTGTAACTTTTACCAGATTCAGATGGATCGAATATAATTTGAATCTGACATATTTGTAATTTATAAGTTTGATAATTGTCGTACATGGTTTGAAATTTTTTTTTTTTTTTTTGAAAGAAAAATACTGGGTAGGAACTAATGTGTAAAAAATCACTATTTGATAAAATTATAATTAGTAAATAAATAATGTAAAACGAATAAAAAAATTAACCATTATGATTGAAACAAATTCAACAACACATGTTAAATTAAAATGCATTAATATAATGGACTCACATCTTCTTCATTATTTGATTTCATCATGCCCTCGTCAAATCAATCACAATGTATTTGTGATAACGTATGTTTACTTACATCAAAAAATTCTGCTATATTTCTTTCTGGTTTTAGGAGAATCCCAATTAGGTACCTAATTAAAAAAAAATTAATAGAAAAAAAAAGATAAAATAAAATTAAATATTATTTAATCACTTACTTTCGTAAAGGGAAAAAGGAACATTTGATTCAAAAAAATTTATACATGGAGAAATCATTCAAACTAAGAAAAAATCATTAATAAGATAAATGTTAATATAGAAATCTCATCCTACAAAATTCATACTTTGAGATTTCCAGAAAAATTATTTTGGTAACATTGTTCTGTATCTTTCTTCCTTGTCTAATCATAACCAACATTTAAGTACTAAAAAAGACTCAATTTATAATGTTCTGAAATACAAGAACCAGTACTTGAGTTTTTCTTTTAAAAAAGTAAAACCTAACATAGTTGAATCCTCTGAATTCTTTGAATTCTATGGCAGAATATAATACTTTTGCGAAGTAAAATAAAATTAACGTGTTTTCTCTTGTGAATAAAATTTTTTCAAGTTCCATAGATTGATCAACGTGATCTACCAGTAATCAGGAATATCCGCGTCGGTAGTAGGATGATATTCTTGATTTTTATATATAGCATAGATAATTAGTTATAGAGATACATTGTCTTTAGGACGTGCGCTTCTAGGTATTTCTCGTTATGCTATTAGGTTTATACATGTATATAAATAAAGAAATGCGCTACTAAATTTTATTAGTTGTAACATATTTTATCATTTATATCTTAAAAAGTTTTCACGCGATATATTATTTACAAAATTATCATCATAAGTTTGGTTTCATCACACATTTATTTTAAAAAGAATTAATTAGACTTCAAAGTAGATCTCTCTCTTCTCCCTCTTTCTTTCCCTTTCTCCTTCCCTCTCTCTTTTTGCCTAATTTTATAATAATATAATTATTGACCTATTGATAAATCTATTAAATTAATTAATATGATTCAATCATCTTTAACAATTTATCCTTCCAATTTCTTCCTTTTCTACTTTTTCTATCCATTTTCCATCTGATCCTTTCCCGTCAATACATTTAATTTAAATTTCTTCGTTTTTTTTAACTAGCAATTTTACAATTATGATAAGCCAAATATAATTGGCAATAATAGCTGCGTTATTAAATCATGAAAAGAAACCTTGATGTAATACTGATAATCCGCTATACCTAGTCTCCGGAGTTACCTTTGCGTAAATAATTATCAACCCAATTTTGCTTATCAAAATTTCTAAATGTAAAATCATAAGGTAAAGATAACAGACTTTCTACTTGTATTGATGAATAGACATTTTCCTGTAGATTCACATGCACAAGTATTTTATATATTGCTCCTGTGATTTTAATGTACGTTCGAGCGTCTCACATCTCTTCCGAAATTTTTATAGACCCAGCTTTTAACAACCAAATTGAGCGGAATTATAATCTCCAAAGAACTATTATCGACCAAAGGGATACTACAAAACTCTTGAAAAACTTTGGGCTAAAGGCACGGGCAGAATTTGACACCAAACACACTTTGATCTGTAACTTCATTAACTTCGTTTCTTTCCACATCACATGATCAAGAAATAGAGAACATCCTATTATACACTACCAAATAGCCCATATACTTTTCCGTCTCTTTTGACGAGGTAAAAAAAAATACATCAAATAATCGTTATGCGCCAAACACTCTTGATATCAACTTCTTCAATAAAGAACTCTCCAACTGCTCCAGTTAACGAGTCTACTCTTCTCGAACATGAAGTTGCCCAACTTCACTTTTACAACAAACTATTGCTCCCGCTCCTACAGTACTACCACAGCTACTCCTGATATTTCTCTTACTGCGTCTATTCATGCACCTGCACAAGGTGAACTTAATATTCCTTTACAATAACCATGCAAGCATAATAGTATGAATTCTTTATCAACTATATCTTGCAATATCAGCTTATGCAAAAAATTTTTGATAGACTTGACAAACTTCAGATTTTACTACTTTAATGAGTTCGTCCACATCCGTTGATTGAATTCGTAAATTCTCCATTGTTTGAAATTGTCATAATCTGACTTGTTCAATCGAGGTTCATCTCATGACAATAAAGATTAACGCTTGGGTTTTAAGCATTGATATCATTGCAAATGCAAACAATGGGTACTATCGTTTTCTTGATCAATTGAATTGGTTTAGCGACGTGCAGACAAACGGACTTCGCCACGTGATCCAATATGTGATAAACATATATAGTCGTGTAAAACATTAGTTTTTCAGTAACAGTAACCCTTGTAGTTCAATCGTCCAACTGTCGCTAAAATGAATACCTTCCTCGCGTACAATCTAATTAACAATTATAAAAAAAAAAAATAGTTCGAGTTAATGCAAAATAAAAAAGATCGAACAAAATTACAACAGTACCTCTCTTTTTAATAATTCGTCCTCCAAACGCTCTACAATACGAAACTTTATGTTGCTGGGTGGTGTGAATTCCCTAAACCACTCAAATCCTGGTGGGTTAATTTCAACTTTTATAACGTTGGATCTCCATTGTGGGTAAGCTCCAAAATTACTAGTGTATTCCAAATTTTATTCTGCAGCTGGGAATATTCCGCGGTTCGGCTACACACACGATCTTTAGGTATCAGAAAAATGCCTAAAATAATTACAAGAGTAACTACTCTCGTAAGAAACAAAAGAATAGTTGATTCTAAAGTATTATTACTGGGGTCCCTGACACCTTCTCTTAGATCATGCCATCTCCTTGGTCTTCCAGTCTGTGCTGGAAATATCTCTCTCTTTACAAATCATCCTCGGAGTAATCATCGCACTCATTCCTAACTAGTTCATCCTTCTTTCGTATCTTCTATTATCTGTTTGGACAATCTCTTAAAACCAGCAGGCATACCATTGATTTCGTCCGTAAATATGTGTTCAGCCATCTGATCATTTCTCTTAAATTTGAACCATCATCTCATTCGCTAAGCCATCTTTCCGAGATTCTGGTTTACCATGAAATAAATGAAATAACCAAGATTTTGGCGATATTTTTCTGTCCACAATTGTGCTGTATTAGATGAGGCAGGTGAAGCAAGGGCTTCACCTCTTAAAGTTTTTTAACAGTCGGTTAGTTTTCGGAGAATAATCGGATTCCGGCACGTGAGGAAGTTTTGCCGTCGGTTCGTTTTTGTAGCCTTTACAGTATAATTCTCTTCATCTAAGGAAGAGTGAGATTCTCACTAATACACTTGAAGAATCTTTTGTTGATCGAATTTTTGTTCTTCGTATGAATCAGAATATAATACCACTTCGTTTGGGGCGACATTAAGGATCGTTGGTTTAGCTTGCTTACGCGTTTTGTAACTTTTACCAGATTAAGATGGAGGTTTTGCCTCGAATATAATTGAATCTGACATCTTTGTAATTTATATGTTTGATAATTGTCGTACATGGTTTGAAATTTTTTTTTTTTGTAAAGAAAAATACTGGTAGCAACTAATGTGTAAAAAATCAGTATTTAATAAAATTTATAATTAGTAAATAAATAATACAAATACGAATAAAAAAATTAACCATTTGATTGATCTACATCGACAACACATGTTAAATTAAAATGCATTAATATAATGGACTCATCGTCTTCATTATTTGATTTCATCATGCTCTCGTCAATGTATTTGTGATAACGTATGTTTACTTACATCAAAAAATTTTGCTATATTTCTTTCTGGTTTGTCCGAAACATATAATCTGAATCTGAAGTATTTAGGAGAATCCCAATTAAATTGGGTATTTAATTAAAAAAAAAAAAATTTAACAAAAAAGATAAAATAAAATTAAATAATATTTAATTACTTACTTTTGTAAGGAACATTTGATTCAAAAAAATTTATACATGGAGAAATCATTCAAACTAAAAAAAAAGTCATTTTTAATAAGATAATTGTTAATATAGAAATCTCATCCTACAAAATGCATACTCATATCGCCAACTTTCTTATCGTTGGAAAAGATGAATCATTTGTACAAGTACTGACCACGTTCTGCTTCCTCAAATACCTTTCCTGCATATAAACAAAAAAATATCGTCAGTATTAGACAATATCAACTTTTTGACTTAATTAACAACTCCTCGAGAGGAATATTGTCGCCTACACTTATACTAATTTTCGAACTTTATTAATATTAAAAGACATACCATAATCTAAGAAATTTCACGATCATAACTTCAGGTATTATTCAGTAAGTCCTGTCCGGCCGGTAATAGCCAATCAATGTTGGTATTTGGGCCAATTTAAACTAAAATGACTCATGGAACTGGAAGACTGGGACGTATAGATCTAATTGACCGGCCCAACGCTTGGGCTGGTTTATATTAACCATTCTTGTTGTATATCTTTTTGCTTGTGATAAAGAGGTAAAAGAAGTAAAGATAATAAATTATCAGATAAGGGAAGGCATATTAAAGTTATCAATTCGTGCGTGGGCAATACGCTGTAAAAATGCAGCTAATCAAAGATCAATATCGAAGATCGTAATTGTTGTATTTTTGGTAAAGTTTCTTATAGTTAAGGGAAAAATGTAGTGTAGTGTATATTTGTGAGTGTGTAAGTATAAGAGAATAATAATATTGTTACATACCAAATACTCTTAATCTCAACTCATCAAAAATAATTTAACGTTCCTTCCGAGCTAAGACATAAATACTACACACTCTTCTACTATACGATACTCATCAACTCCTTCCCTATCTCTTTTAGCTTCACAAAATAAAAAAGGAAACAATGCATCAAATAAAATTCTCTTTACACAGTTCGCCCTCTTTTAATGATGTCGTTTTCAATGCATTAGTCTCCGTATAAATAATTTGAATTGTGAGACACGGGCAGAAGGCTACGATTTTGACACCAAACACACTTGATCTGTAACTTCATTAGCTTCGTTTCTTTCCACAAAGAAATAGATCATATACCTTTCCATCTCTTTTGGCAAGATAAAAAAACGACATACAAATTTTTTTTTTTTAAAAAAAAAAAATACATCAAATAATAATACTCGTTATACGCCAAACACTCTTGATATCAACTTCTTCAATAATGAACTTAACATTCCTTTACTATACCAGGCATAATAGTATGAATTCTTTATGAACTATATCTTGCAATATCAGCTTATGCAAAAACTTTTTGATAGACTTGACAAACTTCAGATTTTACTTCTTTAATGAGTTCGTCCACATCCGTTGATTGAATTCGTAAATTCTCCATTGTTTAAAATTGTCATAATTCTCGATCTGACTTGTTCAATCGAGGTTCATCTCATGATAGTAAAGTAACGCTTAGGTTTTAAGCATTGATATCATTGCAAATGCAAACAATGGGTACTATCGTTTTCTTGATCAATTGAATTGGTTTAGCGACGTGCGGACAAACGGACTTCGCCACGTGATCCAATATGTGATAAACATATATAGTCGTGTAAAACATTAGTTTTTCAGTAACAGTAACCCTTGTAGAGTTTCCGCTTATTTCATCAAGTTCAATCGCCCAACTGTCGCTAAAATGAATACCTTCCTCGCGTACAATCTAATTAACAATTATAAAAAAAAAAATAGTTTGAGTTAATGCAAAATAAAAAAGATAGAACAAAATTACAACAGTACCTCTCTTTTTAATAATTCGTCTTCCCAAACAATACGAAACTTTATGTTGCTGAGTGGTGCTAAACCACTCAAATCCTGGTGGGTTAATTTCAACTTTTATAACGTTGGATCTCCATTGTGGGTAAGCTCCAAATTTACTAGTGTATTCCAAATTTTATTCTGCAGCTGGGAATATTCCGCGGTTCGGCTACACACACGATCATTAGGTATCAGAAAAATGCCTAAAATAATTACAAGAGTAACTACTCTCGTAAGAAACAAAAGAATAGTTGGTTCTAAAGTATGTATTACTGGGCCCCTGACACCTTCTCTTAGATCATGCCATTTCCTTGGTCTTCCACTCTGTGCTGGAAACATCTCTCTCTCTTTACAATCATCCTCGGAGTAATCATCGTACTCATTTCCTAACTTGTTCATCCTTCTTTCGTACCTTCTATTATTACCTCTGTTTGGACAATCTCTTAAAACCAGCAGGCATTCGTCCGTAAGATATGTGTTTATCTAATTTGTACTTGAGACTTAACTAGCGTATTTTTTTGTTGTTAAGGCCCAAATTTTTTTGTTTCGAGTACCATTAAGCTCAATCACATTATCCCTTGTATTTGTAACAATTCTGGTAGAACCAGCAATTAATAATGCAGTCATCTGATCATTTCTCTTAAATTTGAACCATCATCTCATTCGCTAAGCCATCTTTCCACATCTTTCACGAGATTTTGATTTACCACGAAATAACCAAGACTTTGGCGATATTTTTCTGTCCACAATTGTGCGGTATTAGATGAGGCAGGTGAAGCGACTGCAGAATTGCATGAGTTTCGTAATAGTAGCTTTTGATTTAGAGGATTTTGATTTTAAGTCTTGGAAGAAGTTCTAACAACTTTAACAGCTGATCCTCATTAGAATGGGTTTAAACTTGTCCGACCCTAATATGAAAGCTGTAATATAACAAGATCTTGTGGCGTTTTGGCGAGAAATCAATTTCTCCACCTCTGGAGTCGTTGGACCAGCTCTATTCAAATAAGACCAGGCCTACTATGATATCAGGAGAGTCACTTTCTTCAACTTTTATAGGAGTAATGATAGCAGCTGAGCTATCTATTCTTTATTAGGAATAATACCCGTCCGTCCTTCCCCAATACCTTTTTTATCGTTATCATCCATATTTTTTTTTTTTTTTTTTTTTTTTGATCGGGAGTTATAATGCCACAGGTTTATATATTATTTCCTTTTGTCCAAGTTTCGTTTTTATAATTATAATTCTGTTATTAATAAATTAGGGTAGGGGAGACCAAAAACAGAGTTTGAAAGAAGAACTTGCTATGCTTTATTTTGAAAAAAAATCAAAAAAAAAAATATTTACCAAGTTAGATTAGATATCATTTTGTGTAACGAGATTTGCCAATCGTGATGAGACACTTGACACAAGACACAAGTATCAGTAAATGCACCCTCTGGTTCGGACCCAAACTTAAACTATTTGACACTTTGGTTTTCTATTCGTTTTTGGAAGTTTTTACGAACAATAGAAAAAATTGCTATAGTAATACTTCTCCCAACATAACGTAAATATATATATTGGTCGAATTGATTGATTTGGAAGGAATATAATATTCAGAAGAAAAATTTTTTAATATACTGTAATTATAAATGATAAAGATATATTATATAGTTTTATATTAAAAAATAATGTAAAAAAAAAATTTAATAAATATAACATTCAAAAAAGTTTTTTACTTCAAATCACCGGGGGTGAGTATCACCGTTGGCCAGAATTATCAAATTTTACTGGCACTCTATTTTTTTAATGCTGGTCGATCGTCATAATTTCAGTCATCGGTGATCATCACCCCCGGTGATAGTTAGAAAAATTCTTAAAAAAATATATTTACCAAAATTTTTTTCCTTATTTTTTTTCATTTGATCTGATTAGTAAAAATTTTACTTTTTTGAAAAAACTATATACAAATAAAATTACCTATTATTTTATATACAATCAATTCTTAATATAACAAACTTACTTTACAATGAAATTTTCTTAACATATGACATTTAATCAATCAAATACATCAAATATTCCTTATTATAATAAATTAGCCAATTAAATTCTTTGAATTCTTATTTTATAGCAAATTTGAGATAAAAACTGAAAATTTTGTTACATTAAAAGCTAACTATGGGGGTACATATTAAGATTGAAAATTCTATATGAAATCTCAATCTCAATCTCAATCATGTTTTTTGTGAAGACCCCCTATATTTTTTTATTATAATATTATTATTAGTAAATTAAATTAAAATATTAATTAATATTTTAGGATTTTACTAAAAATTACCAGTAATAAATATCATTATATATAAAAATATTTTTTGAATTAATTATATATAAATTTAATGAGTAAAACAAGTTTTTTTTAGATATTATAAAACTGTTATTTAAATAGTTTATAAAGAAAACAGAAAAGTTTAATTTTATAAGTAAAATAATTTTTTGTTTTAAAAAAAATTTAATCAAATTTTCAAAATTTTAGTATAACGATTAGTATTTACTCAAATTTGTTTTATATATTTATTATTTAAATTGAAATTTTTGAAAAAAAAATTTATGATGTTTTTTAATTCTGGCCAAAATTATAATTTTTGGCTAGAATTAAGTGGTATGATAATAATCACCACTGGTAATTTTTAGAAATACCCAATATTTATAATATAAAAATATTAATCATTCTATTTTGTAAATTTAATAAATTTAATTTAATTTATAAGAATAATAAAAATAGTAATATATATTAATTAATATTTTAATTTAAAAATGAAAAATATATATAATTAATATATACATTTGCTGATCAAATAAATAGTTACAAATTATTTAACAGTATTATTTTAATGTAATTAAAATAAATTATACTATATGTATATTAAAAAAACAAGAAAAATATATAATAAATAATCTTAAATTATATAATTTATTAAATTATTTAAGTAAAATAAATAATTAGTTACAGGGTTGATCACCCTTGGCTCATTGATTAGTCCGTGAGTCTCCTCGTGAAGCCTGAGTATGGTGAGGTCGCAAGTTCAATTCTGCCGATTACGGAAATTAAAAGAATTTTACTGCAGACACTACTACCAATAGTGTGAAAGTACATGTAGCTCTGGTGAACCGGCTATAATGATGTCTCCTATATAATTACAAATATCATTTAAAATTTATATATTAATAAAGAATTCTCTATATTTATAAAATAGATCATTATTTCAGATTTAAAGTAAAAATTATATATAAAATTTTTTGCAAATTTTACTATAAAAGAAAATTCAATATTATTATAAAATTAATTGAATTAAAAATAACTATTTATTATACCAAAAATGATTATAAAGTTTTTTAATATACAATTACTTTGCATAATCTTTATTAATTAAATTAAATAATTAAGTAGATATTTAAACTAAAAAAAAGTTAGCAGATACTATTTTATTCATTTAGATTTTACTAGAGATTTATTTCCTTTTATAATAATTTGTACTATTCCGTCTTTTTTAAATTTAATAAAAAAATAAAAAAATAAATCAAAAAAAATAGTATAAATTTTTTTTAAAAAAAAAAAAATTTGTAATTTAATGCTTATTAATAATATTATAAAAAATAATTATCATAATTATGTATTTTATGATTTTAAAAAAAATGTAAATTCTTCTGCTAAATAATAAGATCAAATTAATTTTTTTACTAGAAGAAATAAATATGATTTTTTAATTTTTTTTCTTAATATTATTTATTTAAATAAAACAAAAGTATAATTATAATTATTTTTTTTTTGTTAACACATAGTTATAAATAATTTTTTAATAATTTAAATAATTTAAAAAAATAGATTATTTTTTTTATTAAATATAATAAGGATTTTTTTTTAAAATTAATAATATATATATAAATAATTATTTAAGATTTTCTTTTATACTAAATAAAATAAAAGGCATAATTATAATTGTTTAAATCTTTTTTTTAAATTATTTACATAATTAATATTATTACCCTTTTCAAATTAGCGTATTCCTTAAAAGAATTTTGGTAATTTTTTCAATTCTTAGAGTAGTTTTATTATAAGCAAATTTAAAAATCTTGTGTAATACAAAAGTTTTTTAATAAAAAAACTACTTTAAAAATTGAGAAAATTATTCAAATTCTTTCAAAATCACTAATACTCAATTCTTTTTTACATAATAATACAATAAAATTGCCTATAATCGCAAATTTTTAGAAATAATTTTTTTTAGAAGTGATATTTAAGAAGTACACTAATTGAAAAAGATAATAAATAAATTTTTTTTTATTAATTTTACTACTTAAATTAAGTAAAATTAAAATTATTTTTTATTTATTTGAATTATTTCAATATAATTAGATCAAAAAAAGATTGAATTAATAAAATTAATAATCTATAATTGATATATAATTACTTTAATTATATAACTTATAATTATCAAAATTTCATTTTTTTATTATTAGAAAAATTTTTTGCAAATATAAAAAATAGATATTTTTTAAATTTTTTTTATTATATAAAATAAGTATATAATTTTTTGAAATAATGTATTTACTGCACCCTGCGTTACAAATTTATATATATTTGTATGTTTATCATTTGCCATTTTAAGGGAGGTGCAGTGTATAAACTAAAGATCGACATAAACAATTTACAAAAAAGGAAGGATGCGTTGTAACTTGTAACGCAGGGTGCGGTAAATAAATTCACTCTAATTTTTTTCTTATAATTTTATATGATAATCAAGATTTATTTTTGTTTAATATTAAAAAATATGTTTATTATTTAAAAAAAAAAAATTTTTTTGTTAATTTAGCCCCCTTTTTTAGTATTCACCTCAATTGGTTATATAAAATTAATTTTTTGTTAGATTTTTTAATTTTGTACTTAATTATGATTATATAAAAACTGATAAAATAAGTTAATATTAGTGAAATATAATAAATTATATTATCATTTGGATTTTAGTTTTATAAATTTAACATTTTTAATATAATAATTATTATTATAACAATAAATAAATATTATTTCAAGTTATTACCTTTATAGTTTAAATATTTTGTAAAGGACTAAACTGACTTATTAATTTATAATTTTTCTTTAAAAATAATTATTTATTAAGATTTTTACTTCAAATCACTGGGGTTATCATCACCGTTGGCCAGAATTATTAATTTTTACCAGCACTATATTTTTTTAATGCTGGTCAATCATTATAATTTCAGTTACCAGTGATCATCACTCCCGGCGATAGTTAGAAAAATTCATTTATAAATTATAAGTCATAAAAAATTAAAAAAAAAAGTCTATTATAATAAAATAAAAAAGATCAAAAATAATTTTATACCAATTTTTTTTTTATTTTAAATATAAATAAATTAAATTTATTATATATATAAAAATTAAAAATTATATACATATAATTTATATAATTACTTTAATTATATTATTAGTATATTTAGCTAAGTTATTTCTATTCATATAATAATTATTTCACTTTATAATATTTAATTTTGCAGCCTATACTTTATATATATTTTTATAAATTTATTATTATTTTTTTTTTTTACAATATTTGCAATATAAAAAAAAATAGTACTAATTAAATCTATAACTTGTTTAGTTTAAATTATAGTTTTCAAAAAAATATATACTATAATATTCAGTTAAGTACTATATAATTTTTTAGTAAAGTATATAAAATATTTTATTTAATAAAAAATTAGTAATATAAAGTTTTATTAGTATAATAAAATATTATAAATAATAATTGATTTATATAAGATTTTGTAAATATTATAAAATAAAAAAAAATCCAAGAAGTTAAATTGCATTCTTATTATATAATTCTTTGCTAATTATATTTATAATTAAAATATTTTACAAATTTCAAATATAATTAATACTACTTTTAGCTATATTTTGAAAAGCATTTAATGAATAAAATGAAATTAAGCAAAGTAATTAATAAGTTAATATATTATTTTATCCTTTTTTATTTTTTTATTTTACAATTAATTCTTTATATTAAAGATCAACCATACATTCCTATATTCAAAAATTAATGTTTTTTTTATTAATAGCAATAATCTATTATTGCGACATCAGAATATAATGATTAATAACAAATGTACAATTATAAAAACTCATATATTTATATAGAATCCCATTTCCTAAAACCTCTTATAAACTAATTTTTTTTTTCCTTAAATATCACCGCAATTTCAACAATAAAAATAGAGCTAATGAACCTAAAGAATGAATGTCATTTTCTTAAATCTTTAAAGGGTTGTAAAGAGTCTTTTTTGATGTTCTAGAAACATCTTTCCATAAATCAGAGATCGAAGGGATTGACTCTTGTCCTGAAAAGACATTAAAAAACACGAAAAAGCCTTATAATAGTATTTTTACACCCGCTAAACAACCAATTTAACGCGTCAACTACAAAATTACAAAATTACGAATTTACGATACAAAAATTATGCATTAGTTAAAAATACGTAAAAATAATTTTATTAGACTTTATAAATTTAAAATATAAACATACCTAATTTTAAAGAATCCTGTCCTCCAATCTTTTTGGAACAAAACAGTAGAAAAATCATGAAATTCAGTTATCAAAAAATTAGATTTTCAGATTGTACCTCATGAGACACAGTGTTCAGGGGTTGATCGATAGAGAATGCTTTTTAAGTCAGGCTCTATGCCGGAAGCGTGAAGATTTTGCTTGCTTAATCTATTATTTATGTGTATAAAAACAGAGTTTTGTTCCATTAGTTTTATATTTTATACTTTGAGGTCCCGTTATACCGTTGTCTATTTGCAAGTAAGTTAGATTTTTCAATAAATTTATTGTATTATTTACAGTTCACTTTAATAAATTCTTCGCTAGTAGTAATTGTTCTGATTTTAAATTACACTTTAAATTTATTATAGAAATTGCTTGATCAAATAGTATTACTGTTGAATTCAATATAGTAACAAATACTTTCAAGAATGACATCAAAGTATATTCATTTTTTTTATACTCAATTTTTGAACAAGTTTGCTTCAGTAGCACATTTTCAGGATCCTAAACATAAGAAGATAGAAAGAAATGCTGTGACTGGTGCTCAAACTGATGGCCAAAATTGGGCCAGTCAGTTTTTCGCTTCAGAAGAAAAAGGACAATATAAAGACGTATACGCGAAGAACCGATGGCCAAAAATTGGGCCAACTAGTTTTTCGCTTCAAAAGTAAGATGCGAAAAACTGGTGGCCAAAAATCGGCATTTGGCACAACATATTCAATATTCTAGCGCTAATGTTTAATAACGATAGATCGTTAGGATGATGGCGTAATTTTTTTCGTCCAAATTTAACGTTTAAATCATAAAAAATAACATCCAGGTATTTAAAAGGTCCCTTTTATAAAGGATAATTTATTTAATTACTTAAATAGATATATTATTTGGTTTATTAACATTATTGTTTTTTACATTTATTTAATAAGTAAATTCAATTGTTAATTAAGAACACAATCTACGAATTCCACATTAGCTACACACCTTTAACATTACTACAACACAACGCGCAGGTTTATAGATTCATAGAAAATGGTAGGATTAACACTTGTACTGCTGACCACACAAATTACGAAATTACCAAATGGCATGACAGTTATACGACGACTGGTTTAATTATTTGGTATATCCATTGGGGACCGGAATCATTGCCAAATTTAACAACCACCATCAATAACACGACCGGCGACCATAACACAGTAGAAGTTTCTATTACCCATGAGGCGTTTAATGGATGTATAGAGAGATGGATCGATAATCCACAATAAAAAGATGAGTTTCTTACGATAAGAAATGAGATTAAACACAAATCAGAAGTCACGTTCTACACTGATGGGTCATTAGCATATAGAAATGTACAATCGCAGCTCGGTCTAGATACTCAATTATCGATTAGAGCTGCGTTACTAATCAGTTAGTAAAAGCGAGTTTGTCATTATGGCCCTCTTCTACTAAAGCTGAACTAGTGGCCATCTTCTTAGCACTCCTGGCTGCTCAATGCTCAGCAACAGTTTAAAATATATATACAGATAGTTAAGCGGCAATATATTCTGTTCATTAATAATATAAAATATTCAACTACGAGGAAATGGTTGAAACGAAACAACTTTTTTGGTGCTACTCAAAATTGCATGATTATGAGAGAAAACAAATAGTTTTGAAGTTGATTAAAATTAAAGGACACAGTGGTGGTATAGAGTTAAATGAACGGGCAGATGAATTAGTGAAAGAAGCTGGAACATTTTGATAATTTATTTAATTATAGTTATTTTAATATGCGTTACTTTCCTCATTTTCAAAGATATCCGATCGAACAGAAATTTAGAAAATTTGTGAGAAAACTGTCTTTCAAACCCATGTGAATGCAGAGCACTCATTGCTGTCAGTCAATAATTAATATCAGCCGAACAACTTTATCATAGATCATATTGATTGGGGCATCACATGGACAATTTTCAAACATATTAAAGGGTTCAAATGCAACTCAATGGCGCAAAACACAAAATTTTTATTTTTATTTTATAATTTTCTCCCGACTACTTACATTATTCCCTATATTTGGCAATCAAGTTAACGTCGCAATTGGCAGAACCGGTTAATTTGGTACGCGCCGATATTTCGTCATTTGTCAACAACCTAATCGGATTGCATGTCTGTTCTGACACATTTGAAACATTTTGCCATCAAGCCATTAAACTCAATCTCTAAGGAATACACAAGAAGAACAATGGACAAACTCCGCACATCGAAGGCTAAAGTAGTCACATTTTTAGGTCATTTAGTAACGTAACTTTTTAAAAACTTAATTTGAATCACTAGATGTAACGCCATGATTAAATGGGAAAAAGACCATAGCAAAGGTAAACGTTCAATGACTAGCAATCACCAAACGCAACCACAATATAAAAAGAGGCGACAACGAAAGCGACATCATATGGATACGAATGATCCGGCTTCAGCTGACCACACTATTATCGTATTAGACAAACCTATCAACTGACGTTTTTGCGGACCGTAGAGAGAGCAAGATCATCTAGATATGAACGAAAAGTGGCCGCTTTCACTAAACTATGGACACAAATGGATTTATATGTTACCAAAAATATCCTTTATGAATGGGCCTACAATACAAATTCAGTTCTATTTATAATAGGTTGGGCGTTTGTTTTAGATACGATCCATTAAGTTTTGAGATATTTATTGTTAATTTTATTTTGGAATAGCTGGGCTATTATAGATAGATATATATTTTAGGTTAGATAAATTATTTATTTTATTTTATTTTAGGTTAATTTTTGTTCCTATATTTTAATTCTCGAATCTGTGCTTTAATTACGTTTTTGTAATTATACGAAATCTAATTAATAAATGGTCACGTGTGCATTAAAAAAAAAAAATCAGTGCGTCATCTTTTAAGAAATAAATCACGTATTCAATTAAATTAAAAATTTTTATAACAAAATGTATAACATCAAAAGAATAAAATATAAACTTAAATATGATTTTCAAGAATTTTTATTTATAATAAGTAAAAAATAAATTCTTATCCCCAGGAAAACTCAGACGTGTGATCAATTTCTAAAAAATTTTTTATAGGGGTCCGCGTCATTTTAGATCCCTCAGCGATAGATCTAATTTCTCTTTATCTGCGAGAATTGACCATCATTTCTTCTCGTCGTATTATTTTTGATACTTCTGCGAGGGATCTAATTTTGTTTTTTTCCTTCTCGCCGTATTATTTTTGATGCTTCCGCGAGGGATCTAATCTGCATCGTTTTCTTTCTCGCCGTATTATTTTTGATGCTTCCGCGAGGGATCTAATCTGCATCGTTTTCTTTCTCGCCGTATTATTTTTGATGCTTCCGTGAGGGATCTAATCTGCATCGTTTTCTTTCTCGCCGTATTATTTTTGATATTTCCGCGAGGGATCTTATTTCGCTTTATCTGTATCGTTTTCTTCTCGCCGTATAATTTTTGATGCTTCCGCGAGGGATCTAATTTCGCTTTATCTGCGAGAATTGACCATCATTTTCTTCTCGCAGTATTATTTTAGATAACTTAGCGAGAGATGTAAAGATCGATAAGTTTGGGAGTATCTTTATAATAATTTGTATTTGGTATTAACCATATCTAAGGGTATTTTTTCACATTTCCAAATTCTCTCTCATCATGGCATGTTTAAATACTGATAAAATGTTAGTCCCCATCAGGAGTTATAAACATAAACAATTGTTTCATATATTACAATACATTTGAAGAATCAACATAATCGTTAATTAGTAATTTTACCTAAAAAAGGATAAGCATAGCTAAATTAAATCAACGACTTTTCTATTAAAATTAACAATAGACACATGCATCAAAACAAAGTTCATTTTCTTTTAAAAAAAAAAAGTTACAAAACAATAAAATATTACTTTTGCGAACAATTATAAAAAAAAAAAAGAATTATTTTTTTCTTTATAATAGGGCTTTTGATTTATTCGAATAATAAATTTAGAACAATTATAAATTTATAGTACTACTTTTTAAAGAACAATATCTTGCAGGTATTAATTATTATTATATTTTACAGATTTAAATTTTTAGAAAATTTGTAGTTAATTTTTAAGAAAAAGGTAAAAAATTTTAGGATTGTTTTTACTGGAACAATGCCTCCAGTTTCAAAAATCTTTTTATAGTTGTAATATACCTATAAACAATAGGTTTGATTTCAAAAGTCATTATTAAAGATTTTATAAGTTAAGAACATTAATAATTGAAGAAAAAATTTTTATTTTATATATGCAAATGAAATTTATTTATAAATATATGAGTTATCCAAATTCGAAATCAGTGGTGTTAGTAGCTAATTCCTATTATTATCGCTATACAATGTTCTGATTCCTGAAGTAGAAATGTATCAATAGCGTAACTTTTGTAAAATATGCAGGACAAATAGATATCGTATGAGTCGATATTTTTACTCAATAATGTATCAATAACGTAACTCTTTCACAATAATATATACTCCTCTGGTACACTTCGGACTAATAAAAGTACTATAAATATTACGTTTTTTGGCTAGTTGATCAAAATTTACATCTTTTTTTAAAATCTATATAATTGGATCGTTCCCATATTGAGAAGAGATGTATAGATAAAATTTTGAGAACGGATAATCAGAAATTCAATCCTTTCTCTGGAGTTTTTCATTAGGCCAACAGGGCGAGGAGGTGAAATCACTTTTGCGAGAAAGTTGGAGTTGCCTGGTGTAGTGGAAAATATTTGTCCAAGATAGGACGAGAGATTCCTCTTAAGACAAATTCAGCCGATAGATTTATTCTCATAACATGCGGTTATTTTTAAATAATATATATATATATACAGTATATACTATATATAGTGATTGTCACCAGTAAGAAAATAAAATACTTGTACAAAGTGAAATCATGTAAAAATTTGTGAAATTTCACGCGCAAAAATGAAATTAAAAATTTGTGAATAATTATGATATAGTACTATAATATATTTAGTACATTTTTTTGATGATTTTAAAACATTAATAAATTAAGAGTTTGTTTTTTAATTGTAACAATTAATAATTTTATAAACTAAGAAAGGAAGTAAAAGTAATTATGGAATTTGCTTTTATAATAAAAATTGGCAAAAATTGAAAAATTTAATTATGAATTAGAATAATAAGTCTATATATATATGAAAGACGAATCTATAGAAGAGAAATGAAATAAATACGAATTATTATTATTGATTCATGCCCCGACACTTGTCAGGGATGATAGCAAATCTTATGCATAAATATTTATTATGCATAATAAGTAATTTTGTTTGGTAAATAAGGAAAGGTGTTATAGGTGTCAAGGTGAATTGCAATAATTGCAAAACATAAATTTTCTTATTAAATCTATAATGATTTCAAGTATTTATATGCGAATAAAATTGGAAGACTTGATTCACCAAGTTTTGAACCATATAAATCATAAGATTCCCCAAGTTTTGAGCCATTTAAATCATATGATTTTGAACCATATAAATCATAAGGTTTTGAACCATATAAATCATATGATATTAAGTTTTTAACAAAATGTGTTTTATGCATGAATTTGATAAAGGTTTACAATTTTATTAAATGTTTGTAAGATTTATAAAATTTTATTAATTAGATATACTAAATGATAATTTCGCTCTGAAGATGACTTTTTTTTTGTCGTATATATACAAAAAAACTCAACTATACCGCTACATACATTACATACCATATATTCGTTGATCCCTTTCTAATTCGAAATACAAAAGATTTCCAATCAGGGTAAAAATAGCTGAAAAGTTATTTTTGGTTCATTCTAGTAAGAAATGAATAAAATTGTTTATATTTAAAGTTATTTATAAATTTTTTTTCTTTGTTTCCAATATTTTGCTTTTTTTTTATACGATGATCTAAGTATGATTGTCCTTGTATTAATTGTCATTGTGTCCAAAAACGTTAAAGATCATTTGATTCTTTGAAGTCGCGAATACCAAACATATAATCTAAATTATTTTTAGTAAAACATTAAATGCAGAGGCAATAAATAAAGGGCGTCACAAGTTTCATAATATATTTTATCTTTTCGGAGGTAGCGCATGAAACATTTATCCCGTAATTATTATTTATTACTTCTTTTTAAATGAACAGTAGGATTGATTTATTATTTGTGCATTAATTAACTGCATCATCTTTTCGAAAGAATTCTATCACGCTACCTAAATATTATGAACAATCATTTGGTTGAAGTCAGAATGTACTAGCGATAAAAATTATTTTAGTACCCTTATAATATACTATTTTTAAAAGGTCTATGATTAATATATAAAGCTCACGTAATACAGTATTACAGTATTTAAAATGTAAATACATAGAGTTTGGTATATACTGTATAACTATGCAGACGTAAAGCATGAATTCTTCTATAATATTATATCTCCGTAGGATATTGCGCCAGCAGCTTTTGCAAAAGATCCTAGAGATGCGAATTTTTATATTAATATAAAATTTGATAAGTTCTAGACTTGACGAATTTCAGATTTGGCTTCTCAATGCATCCAAATCTGACTTGTTCAATAGAAGTTCATCTCAGTTCATCTCTCATGACAATGAAGTCTAACACTTGGGTTTTTGAGCATTGATATTAATGTAGATACAAACGATGGGTACTATGATCAATTGAATTAGCTTAGCGATATTCTTATCGCTAGCAGTTATACCAT